CATTCCAAGCACTTAAGACGGCTATGCTCATGGCACCCGTCCTTAGCATCTATGACCCCACCCTGCCGACGCGAGTGACTACGGACGCTTCCGGCCACCCTGTGGAGTATTTCAGCCACAAAGTGCCTCCCATCAACTCGCTTGATGATGCAAGGAAGAAGGAGCTGCTCGCATTCGTGATGGCTCTCAAGCGTTGGCAGCACTTCCTCCTTGGGCGTCGTAGGTTCACATGGGTCACAGACAACAATCCATTGACCTACTACAAGACGCAGGATACGGTGAGCAGCACGATCGGACGATGGATGTACTTCATCGACCAGTTTGACTTCACACCAAAACATCTACCCGGCCTCTCCAGTCGTGCAGCAGATGCACTCTCGCGAAGACCAGATCTTTGTGTTATGACACATCATGCCTTCGCATTCGACGAGGAGCTTCAGCGACACTTCATCCGGGCATACGAGTCTGATCCGGACTTCGGCACGCTCTACGCACAGCTATCTTCGGATCACCCGCCGACCAGCCATTACCACATTGCCGACAGGTACTTGCTCCTCCAGTCGAGAGGCAAGGACTTACTATGTGTTCCACGCGACCGTCGTCTTCGGACTCGCCTCCTCGGCGAGTATCATGATTCACGACTCGCCGGCCATTTCGGAGTCAACCGCACTATTGCACGGCTTCGACAGCGATTCCGATGGCCCGACCTCATTGCCGATGTCACTCGGTATTGCGACTCTTGCAAAGTTTGCCGACGGTCTCTCCATTGCCATGGACGTCACCGGTCCGTTTCCTCACGACCGGCTCGGGCACGACGGCATCCTCACAGATGTGGACCGATTGAGTAAGTACGCGCGTTTTCTGCCTTGCGAGTACTACTCCACGGCTCCCGAGCTAGCACGCCTCCTGCACACTGGTTGGATTTGTGGCCACGGTGTACCAGAAGACATTGTCAGCGACCAGGACACTCGTTTCATGTCGGCGTTTTGGACTGCTCTCATGCAGGAGTCCGGCACAACAATGAAACCAAGTTCGGCTCGGCATCCTCAGACAGACGGGCAGACGTAGCGGCCACATCAAACCGCTCAAATGATGCTTCGTACGCTCATCCGTCCGGACCAGAAAGATTGGGTTGACCGCCTTCCCGACATCGAGTTCGCCTACAACACTTCGGTGCATCCGGCAATCGGCGTGACTCCATTCGAGTTGCACCACGGTGGATGGAAAGGCCGGATCTTCGCCGACCTTCTCCTCCCTCGACCAGCCGACATTGACGCTACCTGCTCTTCCGCTTCCATCCGGAAGTACAGGGAATTGCTGACTCAAGCCCGCGCAAATATGCAAAAGACTCAAGTCCGCATGCAGCAGCAAGCCAATAGGCGTCGTGTACCATGTCCCATCCGCGCCGGTGATCTGGTTTGGGTCTCCGCGGAAGAGTTTGCACTGGAACAGGATGTGTCACGCAAACTGCTTCCCAAGTGGTTTGGACCTTGGTCGGTGACAGCAGCCGCGGGCGATGAGCCCGATGGCCCTTCATTTGTGATCAACATTCAAGAGCATCTGATGGTCCATCCGGTCTTCCACGCCTTGAAGCTGGCAACATACACGCCAGCCAAGAGCGACGAATTTCCGGACCGACGATCGCAGGACCCTCCTTCTATGGATGGCCATCAGGAAGTTGACCACGTCATCTCCGATTGCAAGTACGGCAGCAAGCCGCGACAGTACAAAGTCACATTCAAAGCATGCGATCGCGACGACACTCGGTGGATTTCAGGCGCAGATTTGAAAGCATCCGCACCACTGATCTACGCGCATTATGAAAAGCGCAAGTTAGCTCAGGAAGCTTCACGATCAGCCCCTCCAACCCGGACTGTGGTCCCTCCCTCAGACAGACAGCTTCGCCCTCGCAGGTAAGCTCGGTTCTTCAAGGAGGGGGGGGTGTGGCATACTGCGTAGCCACACGGGCCCTGCAGGGCCCGTCCCGGACATTCAGCCTAAAAGCCTAAAACTTAGGGCTTACAGGCCCCGTTCGTTTCAGCCTGAAAGCTGAAAAACGAGGGCCTGCAGGCCCTACCCCGTTTCAGCCTATTTCTGGGTCTTTTCAGACCCTGAGTTTTCAGCCTGAAACGGAAGGCCATTTTAAGGCCCTCATTGTTTCGACCTGCCCCTAAGACTCAGGCACGTAAACAAGGATGCGGAACAGGCGAGGAATAGCCTGTTCCTCACGAGTTTGAGCAGGAGCTGCAGCCGCAGCCCCTGCCTCCCTTCGGCAGGCTCAGGAGGCACACCCGGTAGTACATAGGAAGATCCCATGCACTTCACGGGGAGGTAGTTCACTAGGCACGAGGTAGTCTTCAGGAGATAGGCCGCAGCACTCAGGAGGAGCGCTGCCGTAGTCTTCAGCGCTAGGTGGTATTAGCGCTAGCTGTAGTCTTCGGCGCTGGGTGCCATAGCTGTAGCTGCAGTCTTCATCTCTGGGCGCTGGTAGGTGGTAGATCGTAGAGTGGGAGAGAGACTGGCGGAGGCCAGTGATACTTACCTGTGGCGCCATCGCTCCAGCTCCATCTTCGTGGTACCTGCATCAAGACGCCAACTTCACAGGTTAGTACTGGACACAGAGATAGAAAGAGTTCTTCTTCTTCCTCTTCTAAGTCCACCTTCTCTTCTCACCCTCTCGCCAGCTGACTTCACCGACTACGACAGAGAGAGAAAGAGTTGTGACTTGAGACTTGACGACATTGGATCCAGACTGGACATTGCGACTCAGACATTTCAACGAGGGACTATTTGGGCCTGTACCGAGACTTGGTGTTGACGCCATTCCCACCTTCCCTCCTCTTTCGTCTAACCCCTCCTCCTTCGAATGTGTATGGTTGGGGCTGGCGCAGTCTTCTTGTGTGAAGCGCCAGACCCCCTATACACCAGATAACGATGATGATGACGTGTGTTCAGAGCTGCATTGCAATATTGATTGTTCGGATCATTCGTATCTAAGTCTTCCGCTGTGCTATCTTATACTTTGTATTGAAAGGTCGGTTCTTGTTCTGGCCTGCACGTTACAGTATGCAACAGCGCCATAGTCGTGCTACACGCTGGCGACCTGAACAACAACAACAACAACAACAAACACAACCACAAGAAGAAGAAGAAGAAGAAGAAGAAGAAGAAGAAGAAGAAGAGGGGCAAAGGCTATACCTGCGTAAGCGGTACTTAACTGGGCGCCATAGCCGTGCTCCACACTGGCGACCTGCACAACAACAACAACAACAACACATCCTTGCGTCAGCGGTACTTAACTGGGCGCCATAGCCGTGCTCCACACTTGCGACCTGCACAACAACAACAACAACAACAACAACAACAACAACAACAACAACAACAACAACAACATGAAGAAGAAGAAGAAGAAGAAGAAGAGGAGGAAGAAGGAAGAAGAAGAAGAAGAAGAAGAAAAACAAGAAGAAGAAGAGGGGCGGAGGCCATACCTGCGGCAGCGGTACTTCCCTGGGCGCCATAGCCGTGCTCCACGTTGTCGAAGAAAAAGAAGAGGGGAGGACGCCATACCTGCGTCAGAGGTACTTACCTGGGCGCCATAGCCATGCTCCACGCTGTCGACCTGCACAACAACAACAACAACAACAACAACAACAACAACAGCAACAATAGCAAGAGCAACAACCACAACAACAACCAGAACCACAACCACCTGGACGCCATAGCCGTGCTCCACGCTGACAACCTGCACAACAACGACAACAACAACAACAGCAACAACCACAACAACCACAAACACCACCAGCAGAAGAAGAAGAAGAAGAAGAAGAAGAAGAAGAAGAAGAAGAAGAACCACTTGGGCGCCATAGCAGTGCTCCACGCTGTCGAAGAAGAAGAAGAGGGGCGGAGGCCATACCTGCGTCAGCGGTACTTACCTGGGCGCCATTACCGTGCTCCACGCTGTTGACCTGCACAACAACAACAAGAACAACAACAACAACAACAAGAACAAGAACATCAACAACCACAACAACAACCAGAACCACAACCACTTGGGCGCCATAGCCGTGCTCCACGCTGTCGACCTGCACAACAACAACAACAACAACAACAACCACAACCACAACGACAACCACCAGAAGAAGAAGACGAAGAAAACGAAGACGAAGACGAGGAAGAAGAAGAAGAAGAAGAAGAAGAAGAAGAAGAAGAAGAAGTAGATATTTTTTAAAAAATTGAATGAATTATAGATTTTTAAGAATATTCTTTTCTTCAATATTCTTTATTTTAAATAGATATATTTTTCATTATGAATCAATTGCCTTGGTTAAGTACTATTGTATTATTTCCCATCTTTGCTGGATTTGTTATTCCATTACTTCCTAGTAGGGAAGAAGAAGAAGAAGAAGAAGAAGAGGGGCGGAGGCCATATCCGCATCAGCCGTACTTAACTGGGCGCCATAGCCGTGCTCCACACTGTCGACCTGTACAACAACAACAACAACACCAACACATACCTGTGCCAGCGGTACTTAACTAGGCGCCATAGCTGCACTCCACACTGGCGACCTGAAGAAGAAGAGGGGCGGAGGCCATACCTGCGTCAGCCGTATTTAACTTGGCGCCATAGCCGTGCTCCACACTGGCGACCTATACATCCACACTGGCGACCTGTACAACAACAACAACAACAACAACAAATACCTGCGTCAGCGGTACTTAACTGGGCGCCATAGCCGTGCTCCACACTAGCGACCTTAACAACAACAACAACAACAACCACAACCACAAGAAGAAGAAGAAGAAGAAGAAGAAGAAGAAGAAGAAGAGAGGTGGTGGCCATACGTGCGTCAGCGGTACTTAACTGGGCGCCATAGCCATGCTCCACACTGGCGACCTGCACAACAACAACAACAACAAGACATCCCTGCGTTAGCGGTACTTCACTCGGTGCCATAGCCGTGCTCCACGCTGTCGAAGAAGAAGAAGAGGGGAGGAGGCCA